TGTGGGTGTTCTCAGTTTTGGGTTTCAGTGACCCCTTGGTGACAGGTTGATTTTTTTTCTTAATTTCAGCCCTTCTGTTAAATTCGGTTCACTCGGGTTCTTATGGCTGCGAATAAAATTGTGTCTGAAATCGTCCCTATTATGAATAAAATCACCGATGTTAAATTGAATGGGTCTAATTTCCTCGGATGGAGTAAAACTATTATTGTTCACCTCCGTAGTATTGACAAGGACGATCACTTGGATTCGGGTCCTCCCACAGACGATGTCAAATATGATACTAATCGGGCGTGGTTACGTGATGATGCAAAATTGCTCGTTCAAATTCGAAATTCCATTGAGCCTGATATACTTTCTTTGGTCAATCATTGTGAATTTGTCAAAGAATTGATGGATTATCTAACATTCTTATACTCTGGACGTACCAATATCTCTCGTATCTATTCAGTTTGCAAATCGTTTCATAGAGGAGAGCAACAGGATAAAAACGCTACGGCATATGTCATGGAGTTTAACAAGGTTTATGAGGAACTAAACTCTCTCCTCCCGTTAAGCAACGATGTCAAAGCAATGCAGAAACAACGGGAACAAATTTCTGTTATGAGCTTCCTCACTGGGTTACGTCCAGAATTTGATGGTTTCAAGAATCAGCTTCTCTCCGAATCGGCCATTCCTTCTCTCCAAGAGACATTTTCCCGATTCCTTCGGACTGAGGAAATGCAGTCTCCAACTATCGGCACTCATATCTCTCAACATAGTGCCATGGTCAGTCGTGGAGCCTCCCAAGGTGTTTCTCGTGGCGGATCTCGACGAGGATCTCGAGGGGGTTCTCGGGGTGGTACTCGGGGAGGTCCGACAAATCGTGGCTCTCGCAATCCCGAATCCGACCAAGTGGAATGTTATTATTGTCATGAACTTGGGCACACAAAGTATTCATGTCCTCAGTTGGAGAAGAAGAATCAGAAAGGCCCCTCTGCTCATGTTGCTTCATCTTCTGACATGGTCACTATCTCTGCTGAGGAGTATTCTCGACTTACTGCAACAGAGAAGCCTTCTTCATCTGCTTCCGTCTTTGCTGACACAGGTAATTCCGCTACATGCCTCATATCTAAAGGCACCAGATGGGTCATTGATTCAGGTGCATCAGATCATATGACAGGTAACCCAAATCTATTTTCCACCCTTGACCCTCATACACCTTCTTCTCATGTCACTATCGCTGACGGGTCTACTACTCGTGTCCTTGGTTCTGGTTCAGTCAGTCTTACTCCTTCTATCTCGTTACAATCCGTCCTAAATTTACCAAACTTTGCTTTTAACCTACTCTCTGTTAGCAAACTTACTAAATCATTGAACTGTAGCGTCTCATTCTTTCCAAACCATTTTATTGTGCAGGATCTTTCAACGAAGCAGATCCTTGGTGAAGGACATGAATCTGATGGCCTCTACGTTTTCGAAACACCGACATCTAAGTCACTTGTTTGCACCCCCTCCTCCTCCGCACTAGATATGCATTGTCGTCTTGGCCATCCTTCCCTCCACAGTTTAAAAAAATTGGATCCTCAGTTTTCAAGGTTGTCATCCTTATTTTGTGAGTCCTGTCAGTTTACTAAACATTGTCGTAGTTCTTTATCACCTAGAATAAACAAGAGGGTTGCGACCCCATTTAGGTTGGTTCATTCTGATGTTTGGGGTCCTTGTTCTGTTTAATCAAAATCTGGTTTTAAATATTTTATTACCTTTATTGATGATTTTTCTCGTGTCACTTGGATATACTTTATGAGAAGTCGTTCTGAAGTTTTTCAACATTTTTTGTCCTTCAATGCTGAAATTAAAACTCAATGTCATGCTACCATTCAAACACTTCGAAGTGATAATGCAAAAGAATTTTTGTCTGCACCTTTTCAGTCTTATATGCTTGAAAATGGGATTTTGCATGAAACGTCGTGTGTTGATACACCTGCTCAAAATGGGGTTGCAGAACGTAAAAACCGACACCTCCTCGAGGTTGCTCGGGCATTACTCTTTCACATGCATGTTCCTAAAACCTTTTGGGTTGATGTTGTGTCTACTGCTTGTTTATTAATTAATCGAATGCCCTCAGCCGTATTGGGTAATTCAATTCCATTTTCAGTTCTTTTCCCCGATAAACCCATTTTTCCTATACCACCTAAAATTTTTGGGTGCACTTGTTTTGTTCGGGATACAAGACCTCATATCACTAAGTTAGATCCCAAGTCTCTCAAATGTATTTTCCTTGGGTATTCGAGGGTGCAAAAGGGGTATAGGTGTTTCTCTCCCGTCCTCGGTCGTTATGTTGTGTCTAGGGATGTTAGTTTTAATGAACACCTTCCATTTTTTCATACCCGAGAGCCTCCATCTCCAGAGGAAGACGATTTTTGGGTATATTCTGTTAATCTCACTAGCCCTCCTTCCCCTCCACCTCAGAGACCTCGGCCACCCATTACACAGACATATACTCGACGTTCTCAATCACATCACAAGGTCATCATGGACTCTGATTCACGTCCTTTGCCTGCTGCTTCGGTGGAAGACCCTTTGAGTCCAACCTCCACACATGTCCCTCAACCAAATGACCCTGATGACCTTCCTATTGCGCTTCGCAAAGGTAAAAGATCTTGCACATACCCTATTGCTTCTGTTGTGTCTTATGACAACCTGTCTTCTTCTTCAAGTTCTTTTATTGCCAAGCTAGACTCTATCCTTATTCCTACATCTGTTGGCACTGCTTTGGCTCATCGTGGATGGCGTGCTGCTATGATTGAGGAAATGAATGCTCTTGATCATAATGGCACATGGTCTTTACTGGACTTACCTATTGGAAAAAAGGCAATTGGATGTAAGTGGGTCTTCACTGTTAAAGTTAATCCTGATGGCTCTTTGGCACGTCTTAAAGCTCGGCTTGTAGCTAAAGGCTATGCTCAGACTTATGGCACCGATTACTCTGAGACTTTCTCTCCTGTGGCCAAACTTACTTCTGTCCGGTTGCTCATTTCTCTTGCTGCCTCTTTTGATTGGCCTCTACACCAACTTGATATTAAGAATGCGTTTCTCCATGGCTTTCTTCAAGAAGAGGTTTATATGGAGCAACCACCTGGTTTTGTTGCTCAGGGGGAGTATGGAAAGGTATGTCGTCTTCATAAGTCTTTATATGGGTTAAAGCAAAGTCCCCGAGCTTGGTTCGACAGATTTAGCAAGATTGTTCTGAAATATGGGTTGGTGAGATGTAAATCTGATCACTCGGTATTCTATAGGCGATCAAGCCTTGGAATCATTTTGTTGGTGGTGTATGTCGATGATATTGTTATTACAGGGAATGATAATGATGGAATCTCAAACCTAAAATCCTTCCTCCATGAGAATTTTCAAACAAAGGACTTGGGACACTTAAAATATTTTCTGGGAGTTGAGATAATGAGAAATAAGAGAGGGATTTTCCTTTGTCAAACGAAATATGTGCTAGACCTTCTTAAAGAAACTGGAAAAGTTGGGGCAAAACCATGCAGCACTCCGATGACACCAAACTTGCAGTTAGGAAAGGATGATGGTGAGCCATTTCATGATCCAGAACGATATCGAAGACTTGTAGGGAAGCTAAATTATCTCACCGTAACGCGCCCTGACATATCCTTTGCAGTTGGTGTAGCAAGTCGATTTATGTCTTCTCCGACCATCAGTCATTGGGCACTTCTTGAACAAATTTTGTGCTACTTGAAGGGTGCTCCTGGACGGGGATTGTTCTATGGGCGTCACAGTTATCAAAAGGCTAGAGCAGTTGAAGCATATTGTGATGTCGACTATGCAGGTTGCAAAGATGATAGAAGATCGACTTCTGGATATTGTATATTTGTGGGAGGCAATCTAGTTTCGTGGAGAAGCAAGAAGCAAAATGTGGTTTCTCGTTCAGTTGCTGAAGCAGAGTATAGGTCGATGGCTGATTCAATATGTGAAGTTGTATGGATCCATCAGTTACTAAAGGAGCTTGGATTAGAAGTTGCTCTCCCAGCAACACTTTGGTGTGACAACCAAGCAGCAAACCACATTGCATCAAATCCTGTATTTCATGAACGGACCAAACACATAGAGATAGACTGCCAGTTTGTTGGTGATAAGGTCGAAGAAGGTTTTGTCACTACAAGATATGTCAAGTCTGAGGATCAATTGGGAGACATATTTACGAAAGCAGTAAATGGTGTAAGAATGAAAAATATTTGTAACAAGCTGGGCATAATCGACATATATGCTGCAGCTTGAGGGGGAGTGTTAATGTAAACATGGTATAGATTAGATGTATCAATTAGGTGATTTGGTAAATCCCGTAGATTAGGTCGTTTGATTTCTTTCCTTTCTTTCATCTCTTTTGGCTTGTATATATATCTTGTAATCTTCATAGTGAAACACAATATATTCAAGCTTAATAGCATTACATTGACAAGTCCCTCGGCCCGGGCGTGGATAATGCGCTCATCTACTGACAAGCGTAGCTCCTCGAGCTCCGCATCCTTGGCCTGGAGTTCGGCCTCTTGGCCTTGAGCTCGGTGTCCTTCTCGGCTTTCTGAAGATCGAGGGTATTCTGAAGCTTGAAGAGTTTTCCGTCGCCCTTTTTCACCTCTTCCTTGAAAGACTCCACCTCGGCATCGTCGCCCTCTAGCTTATCCTCAAGGAGAGGGGCCATGCCCGCCAAAGCCTATTTGGAATAGAGGATGAGTTAGATATAAATTTTGCAACATTTGTTTATAAGAGTTGAAGATGGTGAACACGTACCAATCCGAGGTGGTGAGTGATAGCGCTGGTTCGGTCCACCTTGGTGAGCCATCTCGTGGTCTCGCCTCGCGGGAAGATTTCAACGAGGTAAGAGCTGGTCATGGAGGCGTCGTTTTTCCCGGCGACCTTGTTCGGCCGTTTCAGGGGTGCTTCGGGCCCCTCTGTAGATCTAAGCCTCTTGCGTTTGGCCGAGAAGGTTTTCCCCGGGTGTTCACGGGGGTAAGTGCGCGGAGGAGAGCGCAAAGGAGCATCATCATTGGGGAGGTCAACCACTGGTGGGGTTAACCCCTTGGGAGGAGTTGGCATTCCCTTTGAGGGCCCGGTCGGAACTGGGGTCGCGGCCTTCGGGGGTGCGGCCACGGTCTTGAGAAGGTCCTCTGCAAAACAACAAAGAGATACAAGTATAAGTAAATGAGTTATATGCATATGATTAACGTAAAAGAGAGGGTAAGTGATATGACGACAACTCGGAATGCCCAGCCCTACCTATGTCATCTACAGGGTCGACGGCACGTCTGGATAGCTCGAAGTACTGTAGGAGCCGATCACTAGTGGTCAGCTTCATCATGAGAAGTGGGAGCTCATTCCACTGGTCAATTAGGGTCTCGTATGTGGTGTTTTGTTTTAGGTTCTTGCGCTGATTCGGGGCTAAGGGAGGAAAGTCGAAGGGATCGGGAGAGGGACACACAAAGAAGAATTTGTTTCTCCAGTTGTGCATCTTCGGTTTGGGTTGGTCAATGAAATGGGTACGGGTGCGACGCATGAGGTAGGGGGCGTTGTCCGAGTTTCTAAGGCAAATACAATAAAAACACAACTTGGGTTCGAGATAGCCGAGGCGGGCTTGACACACCATTATGAAGCTAATCAGGAGACGGATCGAGTTAGGAGGTAGTTGGTTCAGGGGTACCCCATACAGTCGGCCTAAACGGAGTAGGTTGGGGTGTAGGGGAAATCTAAGCCCGGCACTCACTTGGTCGAGGTAAAAGCTGTGATAGCCGGATGGAGGGCTCTCGAAAGAGTCATCGGGCTCGGGGATTTTAAGCTTCCAACCTTGTGGCAATTCAATTTTTTTGGTAAGAGAGGATATTTAAGTGTCCGTGTATGTAGAGATGGGGTTGGAAGGTACGGCCTGGGAGCGCGTAACACTCTTTTCTGTTTTGGTGTTGGGAGAGGATGTCGAGCCCCACTTTGGGTGAAGAATGGGATGACGAAGGTGTGGTGGAACTAGCCTCTCTAGTAGAGGAAGAGCTAGTGATGTGGCTCGTAGCGGAGGAGTTATTGTGGGTCGGAGAGGTAGATTGTTCTAAGGGGTGTGAAGGTGAAGTAGCGATAAAATGCAAAGCAAGAAGTATGATAAATATGAAAGATGCCGAAGCTGACATAGTGTGCGAATTGAAGAGTGCTCGTCGGAATGGAGGTACGGTGTTGTGTCCGGCGCGGGTGCCCGGTATGGTGTGTTTGGCGATGAGTGTGCTCGTCATTCAGGCGGGTCGTCGTAAGTGCTCGGCCCTGAGGAGTGCTCGGCGTCGTGTTGAGGTCGGCATCGCGGGTGCTCGGCATGACGGTGCTCTGCGCGACAGATGTTTGGTGTGGGCGCTCGGCGCAGAAGAGCTCAGCGCGGGTGCCCGGTATGGTGTGCTCGGTGTGGAGGCCGTGGCAAGAAGTGCTCGGTGTGGAGGCCGTGGCAAGAAGTGCTCGGCGTGGATGCTTGGCGCGAGAGTGCTCGTCGTGGAGGCCTCGGCATAGGGAGCCCAGCACGGGTGTGCTCGGCATTGGGTAGCTCGGCATGAGGGGCTCGGCGTGGGCGTGGATGCTCGGTATCACGATGGCTCAGCAGTAGAGTGCTTGGCATAGCGCTCGGCATCCTCGGGTACTCGGTGTTCTCAAGTGCTCGGCGTTAGGAGTAGCTTGGCGCGGAGAGCTCGACATAATGGCAGATCGGAGATCGGCATAAAGTTCTCGGCACACGGGTGCTCAGCGTGACAGTCCTCGGTGATGGACAATCGGCAGCGGCACTCGGCAGAAGTGCGCGGCGCGAGTGTTCGGCATGAGACAGCTTCACATCGACTTCAATAGCGTGATCGGCGTCATTCGGTACGGCATGTAGATGTCTCGGTTGGGCATCTTGGCATCCATGGGTGCTCGATGCTCGTGAGGTCGGCATTAGCAAATGCTCGGCGTCGACGGCACCTTAGCGTGTGAGTGGTCGATGTCGGCACCTCCCTTTTCGGCGTGAGTGCTCGGCGTCAAGGCCCTTGGCAGGGGAGTGCTCGGCATTAGGGTCTTGGGCGTGGAGTGCTTTGCGTGGAGTCCGCGGCGGAGAGGGCCCGGCGTGGGTGCTCGGCAGTGGTGCGCTTGGCATGGAAGTGCCCGGCATCACTCGAGGCGCCACCCAAGTGCTCGGCATCACCCGATTGTTCGGCGTCACCCAAGTGCTCGACGAGATGCTCGGTGCGCGGGCACTCGATGTAGCAGCGCTTGGTATGGGGGTGCGCGGCTCGGTAAGGTACGTGGTGTTTGACGCGTGAGCTCGCGTGGTGGCGAACGTGTTTGGGTAAGGTAGGCGCAGTGTTCAATGTGGTACATGTAACTTTTCATTCCTTAAGACAAGCTTTACTTGTCTAAGGAATGGGGGGGGGCTAGATGATGTAGTCGTCTGTAACAGTTCATGAAGGACCGGTTGTGATACTGCCATTAGTAATGGCTAGGCTCAGACCGGCTATAATCCGCTCATCACTATCATATAAGAGGGTACCGAGAATGCCATCAAGGATACTA